CTGCCTCCCTGCCTGCTTGGCACCTTGGCCCATGCCGTCGCCCGCACTTTTGCAACCAGAGCCGCACCAGCCAACCCAGCCGCCGCCGCCGCCGCCCACCAGCCACACGCGTGCGCCGCACCGCGCCGCGACCCACCCCGCTCCCCCGCCCCCCACCCCGCCACCGCAGGCCACCGGCGAGCTGTCCGGGGTGGGCCTGGCCGACTGGACCCCGCAGACCATCGACTCGTGGCGGCACTCCATCTGGGTGGGGGTGTGGGACCCTTGGATCGTGGTGCTCAAGGGGCCGCGCATGTGGTACAAGGTGCGCCCCGCTGGGGCCAGCCAGCCGGCAGCCCTGGACGGCGGCCAGGGCCTGGAGCGGGGCCTGGAGCTCGGCCTGGGCCAGGCCGGGTGCCCTTTGTCGGCGCCCCCTGCCGGCGGGACCCTCCCCTTCATTTCCAGCCACCTCTCCCCACCCCTCTGGCTCCGCCCGCAGGTCACCCGCGAGATTGTCACGCTGGAGCGCATGCACCGCGCCTTTGCAGACGGGCTCATGGAGGTGCGCGTGTGGGTGGTGGGTGGTGGTGGTGGGGCGGTAGGGCAAAGGTACAGTGGAAGGCAGGCAGGCAGGCATGGGCAGCGGCAGGGCACAGGCGTGCTGCGCTGGAGTGCCCCTCCCCCGCTGCCCGCGTCTGACATGTATGGCTGTACTGCCCCGTCCGCCATGCAGTACGGCATGATGAAGGCCACCAAGAAGAAAGCCTAGCCCGACGACGAGCGCCCCGGCTGGGGATACACTTGAAACTGGGATATTTTTGGAGCGATGAGTGCACCCCGTTGCGACGCCTGTCGCGTTCCTGACCAGCACTGACAAAATGCACGCCTGCGCCACCACCAGCCTGGCTCGCCGTACCACCAGCACAGCAGTTTGATGTGGCGGCTTGATGTGGCTCTTCATGGCGCGCCCACCCACACCGTTTATTGGCCAGTTTTATTTCTGTCAAATGCTCCTGTCAACCCACGCTACAGGAAGTCAGCAGCAAAGCCACAATTAGCCAACCACTCTGCCTCAGCTTTCAGCAGCGTGTGGGGCTGGCATGTGGCTGCTGGCGCAGGTGGCTGCCCCGGACACCTGCCTTTGCACCACCAAGACATGCCAAACACCCTGACGAGAGCAGTTCAATATGAGTAAGGTTAAAGACCGAAATCATTTGCATGAGGCTGCATGAAGCAATGCCGGCCGGCAGACGCAAACGGCTCCGTCCTGCACGCCGGCGCGCCGCCGCCCACGCGTGAGGCATGGGGCCCCAGGCCCGGCAGGTTCGGGTGCTCAGATGAAGTACTCTGGCGGCGAGCTCTTCTTGGCTGGCCACTTCTGCTGCGCCGCGCGGTCGCTGGTCACGGCCTCCACCTGCACACGCCCAGCCAGACCGCCACAACAAGCACCATTCAAGGGAACCTCGGGGGAGAACAAAGGGGTCAGCCCAGGGCCCAGGGGGCGGGACTGCCGGGCAGTCACAGGGGCACCCATGATCAGCCAGCCGGCAAACAAAGGAGCGAAGCGCAGCCCAACTCACGCCGTCGGCGTCCCGTTGCCGCTGCCCCTTGCCGCCGCCGGCAGCCCCCGCCGCCGCCTGCTGCGCGGCTGCCTTGGACGATGCGCTGGGCGCGCGCGGCCGCTGCGGAGGCCCCGCCTCCCCCCGCTGCTCCTCCTGCTGCTGCGGCTGCTGCTGCTCCTGCGGCGGCTGTTGCTCGGCAGCCGCTGCTGCTGCGGCGGCAGGTGCGCTGCCATTCTGCTGAGGGCCAGCTGCTGCTGCTGCTGCGGGAGCCGCTCCATTGCTCGCTGCTGCTGCCGGAGCAGCGGGTTCCCGCGGGGGCTGCGAGGCGCCCCCGCTGCTGCTCTCCCCATCTCCGCCGCCGCCGCCGCCGCCGCCATCGCGGCTGCTGCCCCGCTCGCCGCTGCTGCCGCCGC